CCATGATTTTTTTACAAACTTTTCTTTTAGATAATATGTATTTAAAATAAAATTCTCTAGTTTCCCCAGCCAATTTTTCTCTTTTTCCTCATTCATACAGTCAGTACTCATTCTTTTACCAAATTAATCAGGACTACCTCGTTGACCGCAAGTGCGACTGCCGGGCTCGGGTTTCGGGTTCGATTCCCGGGTCGGGCAAATTATTACTGGGTTTTTAAAAAAAGTTCATAGTAGTAGCACGGAGTCTGAAATTGTGCCCGGTATATGGCTTACCCCCTATTACATAGGACTCATAACATAAATAGTGAAAAGTGGGTGTTACATTGTACAGTGGCATAATGTGCACCTCTGTCTACCCCTTCGGAAATAGAAGGCGTGATGTTATGTTAATCAGGATATTTTAAACTACTGCCTTTTTCGAATTACTGCAAATTTTTGGATAAATAGAAGGTGCTACGTAGAAGGTTTTCAAAATTTCAATCCTAGACCAAAAACCGAGAAGATTCACAAGACCATTATGTTCCATATGGGCAAAGGTTACATGTCCGTAGAAGGCATCGCGAATAACGTTTAGCGCGTAGTGTTGTACCAGTTGTACTCTCGTACTCGATATTAGGGCCGCGGTAATGAGCGGGTGCTGGGTACACTGCGGTGCACGGTGCGGTGTTAACCGCGCGCATTACCAGGCTTCCGCTAAACAACACACGGTGCCGGCCAGATTACACTCTGTCAATATTTGAAAGTATCCCGCCACTCCCGAAACACTTCGATGAAGTTGTTTATTATAAGGCGGTGCAAGCATTGCATTTCAAGATGGTAAAGCAATGTTTATTTGGTGGGGATTGGGAATCGAATTCAACTTCTACCTAATTGAAATAATTAGATATGACGATATAAGAATTAAATGTCCATTTTATCAACTTTTTAGAAATAGCATTTAAATATTATTACTTTTTTTAAGGTGTAAATATTTTAGTTATTTATATTTTGAAGTTGTATAGTTATATTTATTTAATTTATTTTAACCTATTTGGAAACATGGAACAAAATAGAAACATTAGGTATAATCGCATTATATGAAGCTTTATTCGAGGATAATTCAAAACATGTCGCATCACCATTTGAAAAAATTATAAGGAATACATTTAGTTATTAAGTTAGTAAATTTAGAAAACCTTCCATCGACTCTATCACTCATTTCTCGATAAGCAATAAACACTTATCCCATAAGCATGAATGAAACCGCGGCCAAAGTTTGATGAAAAGTTCAAATGTCAAGATGTAACAAGTGAGCGCGAGTGAGGGCGCGAAGTGGCCTGTTCAAACAGGGGTTGTGTTGCGGTGAGTTCCGGCGGCATCGGCACCTGTGTGCCTGTTTGCACACACACTTACACGCCAGGCTACAATCACTGCGCAAACCCACGGGATGTTTGCCTGCACCGGTGAGATCAACGCAGGCGAGGAAATCTTAATCTGAAGCGGAGCTTTGAACTTACTAAATGCTTACGAAAGGACCAACTAATTGATCGAGGAATTCAATATACATTGATATATGCGCCAAGTTTTAACGTTAGATGCAGTATGGCCATTATAGCGAAGATATACACACGAAGACACACGTAGTCTCGAATCTTAAAGAGTGCGAATTAAATCAATTATCGACGTGAAACCTGCTAAAAAGGAGAGACGCGTAGACGTTCGTATCATTTGTACACAGACGTAAGATATCTTCGAAACTAGTACACGAATTACAAAATACTTTTTAAGGAAAGGTATATATTATTTTAAAAATAATAAAATACAGTCAAAGACCAAGAAAATAAGGTAAATATAATAGCCGAACACACGGAAGTTGTTAATATACTGCCGAAAATGACTCTTTCGCATACGTAGTCTAATTTGTAGTTTATATGGACGTATCCGATTCTCATATAAATGGATCATTTAAAAGTAGGCGATGTTTAGCTAGAATAGGGCTAGTTTGGGAGCTCGGGGACTCCCGGCCGACGGCTGAGATAAGCTCCCCATAATGTTTGCGCAGGCGTATTTTATCGCTACGCCACGCGGAAATAAATTGGTGCCAGGCAGGAAGGAAACATGACAAATATTATCCTATGATGTTAGGTGGCCTAGTGTCATCGAAATGAATATAACTGAAGGGAGAAAAACGCATGGGAACGGATTATCTTAAAGTTAAAATCAATATTAAGTGGCAACTGCAATAATAACCAAAATGTCTGAAGTTTTCAGCGATATATAGACACTCATTTCAGTGACTCAACTTTGTGACCAGACCAGACATTACCTATATTTTCAGAGAAGTGGATGATTAATACAGAATCACACTTGTTATATCTTTTATATTTACTATATTAGTTTAGCTATAGCCCATTGACGGCGGCATTGCTTTAGGCAAACATATACCTACCTAACCAATTCAGATTTTATTCTATTTCATAAAGAACACAAAGCGACAGTGAACATAATGATTGATCAAATATATGAGTCTAAGTAAGAATGTCGTATCCAGCACCAATGCAGTGGCAACTGGGTAATAATGTGGTTTAGAACGTATCGACATCCTTTTTAATACATTTTGCGTATTACTGTCGGTACATCTGTCACTAAAAAAGAGAGATATCTTAGTAAGTGAATGTGGTCTTGACGTTCCAAAAAGAAGCCGATAAAAAGAGCCGACGCGGTTGATAGGAATTTAATAAACAAGGACCAGATAACATAGTGCCTATTCAATTAGAGGCGGTAATCGCGTGTCGGTTTCATGTACACCGCCCCATTGACCCAGGGTCAACATTAGCTAGATAGTTCCTCTATTTAGGTACGTATGTATAACTAATTACGGAATAATTCATCTTATATGGGGTCACTTCAGCAATAAATATTATACGATAAACAAATGAGCTTTTAAAGTGAATTTATTGTTCTTTAATTATTTGTATCGCTGTACCAATATATAGGTATTTGTGCGAAGGTAACCTTCATCTCAGGAAAATAACTGGGAATATCACGTGGAAATGTTTTTATCGCTGTATATGAGTATGATAGACAGTATTGTAGTATTTTTTGCAGTATTCTACTCGTATTGTAATAAGACTTAAATATTAGTAGACTAGCTTCTGCCCGCGACTTCGTACGCGCAATCCCGATATTTCCCGTTCCCGTTCTTGATTTTCGGTAAAAAGTAAAAAAAAAAGAATTGGGTAAAAAGTATCCTATGTCCGTCTCCTGGTTCTAAGCTAACTCCCCACCAATTTTCATCCAAATCGATTTAGCCATTCTTGAGTTATAAATAGTGTAACTAACACGCCTTCTTTTATAATAGATATATAATCATAAATTACGAATTACAAAAGATATGTTTAAGTTAGTTAAGAATTCGTTGAATTTTTTATTATTATATAAGTCTATCGTAATTACGTCTATCGTATCGTATCGTAAATGTAGAAATATTAAGCCTATTAAGTCCTTAAAAGTTTAGTATCTAAATCAGTGCCAATTTCATGACCTGAAACACGACTGTAATGTTATTAATGTCTGTGACAAAATCCAAGTTGGACTTTTTTAATGGGGCAAGTATGAGGTTGTAGTAAAAAAGTCCGAAGTAACCTTCCAAAACCGCTACAACTCCTGTAGTCCACTACTGAAGCTGAAGAATAATGATATTAATAATGAAGAAAAGAAGAATGCTTTTACATAAGAGGGAAAATTGAAAATTGCCATATGCTTGAAAAGTTCAAATTTTGCCAGAGAAAGGTGCTGTGCTGTCTCTCCCTTGGGCTACGGTAGCAAATAGAGGAAAGGATTCCGTTTGCGTTAGAAAAAAAAACTTAAGACGTAGTGTAAAAAAAAGAAAAACCAAAATATCATTTAAGTTTCCATTGGTGCATTTCGTATTAAAATATGATTTTCTGTACAAAAATGAGTATTATGATTATGTGACATATTAAAACTCCAGAGAAAACGTAGAAAAGGAGATCTACTGAGTTATAGATTGGACTTGGTTTAGAAATTAATAGCTTAATTAATTTCTAAGACAAAGCAATACATCATGGCTAAAATGGATAAACGCAAAAGTTTTGTCAAAAAGAAAAAAAATAATTTTAATTTACATCAAATTAAAAAGTGATGAAAAAATCTTTAAGAAAGACTGAAGCTAACGGAGGTAAAAAACTGAGAGTAGTAATAAGTAGATAAATGTTTTTTTAATCTATTAATTAATTAAGTAATCTATTATTACTTTTTTAAGGTGTAAATATTTTAGTTTTAATTATTTATTTCAATAAGAAGTGTAGATAATATTAAGACTCCTATAGAATAAAATATATTCGGTTAATTAAGTAAGTAGTTAACTGGCTAGTTATATGGAACATCACTACACTTAAACATTGAGGGATTAGCTGAACGGAAATTACAGAAACTAAAAAAAACCTATTATAGGCTTCGAGTAGAAGTTTTATAAAGAGCTTTGCTAGAGAGAAAAAGTCTACGATTCTAGATTACCTAATACCTAGTAGGTACCTATGCATATTTACTACTTTAGATAATAATATTTCAACTAGTTATAAAATACTAGCTCCTGTCTGCGGCTTTGCCTGTGGGAGAAAAATAGCCTATGTGTAATCTAGACCATAATTTACTTCGGTTCCAAATTTCATCTAATTCCGATCAGTAGTTTTTGCGTGAATTGCGTAATAAACACACACACATCCTTACAAGCTTTATTAGCATTTAGACTATTAGTAGGATTATTATCTAAAGCCTACTTAAACAACAAACAATAATGATTATTGTTTGTATTGTTTATAATTTTCAATAATGATACTATCTTTTTGGATAAAAAAATGATACTTCAGTGCATGCACTACCTCTAATTAAATTAAGTATGGTATGTACTATGTACCAAATAAATATTGTCTTACGGTTATTCATTATTTTTTATAAATTTATTAAAATTAAGACCTCTTTAACTACTAGGCACCTACCTCGTCGGCTGTGGTACGATGCTGTCATAGTTGAAACTCTCTAGCAGTTTTCCGACTGCCTCATTGATTTCTAACTTGTCACAGGGCCGGTCGCGATCCTGTTCCCAGCTCATTGTCACCACTAAGTTTAAAAAAGAGAACTTAAAAAATTCGAATACCGCGAAGAATTTTTCAATCGACGCAAGATGAACGCGCGTGCGGTCGACTCGCGCGCATAGACTATAAAGAGTTCCTTATGCTCTGCGCATAACTATAAAAATGTTTGACAGAAGGGGCGCGCGCGCCGGTCGCTGATACGTCGGGCTCGTATTTGTTTACTTATCGATTACTCATTATAATATTGCGCTTTAAAGTAAATAAACTTATAAATTGTACGCGAACTAGTAAACATCATCGCCAGATACCTACTTATCTAAATAATTTAATATTTTCGTTGCTAGACTTATTTAAAAACCGAAAGTGCCTTTTTCAAATCATAATCGAAGTTGATAACGAATTTATATTTCACTTTTTTAATACGGCGTTAGGTAACAAAGAATGAAATAAGAACCAATGCAATGTTTAGTAGTTAGTAAGTTTTAATTCGTTTTCGTATAAATTTACGCGTGAGAGCACTGCAAGTTTTCCAAGATTTCCCTTCAGTGGTGTAAGTGGGCGGTGCGCTTGCGCATGTAGCACCGCCTCACGATGTCATTGGTGCGCTCGGCCGGCCGCTCTGACGTCACAGCGCCCGGGCCTTTATCTACGTGATTACTGGAGAAGCCAGGCCGACACCTGATAGTGAGGTTCAGTGCAGTATGTATAGAAAATATGGCTACTACTCCTTCCATGCCGTTTATTCGAAGAAAAACTTCTTTGGACTGGCTTTTACATTAGGAGAATTGTAGCTTAATCTTTCGAACAAATTTCGACAGAAAATAATCACTTCAACTGCTGGAACTGTAGTGCTAATACCTGGTAGGTACGTGTTACGGCCACGTAACATGATCGTCGGTCCACTAACACATGCAATTAGTTGCTTTTTATTAAACCTTCCACTTCGTAGCAATTAGCACGATCTAATTTTGTACCCACTTCGCGCAATGTAACCGCTAATTGAGTTGTCAAGGTATGCGGTAGGTAGGTAAGCTATCGTTTGTCGAGTTAGCGAAACATTTAGATACCTAGTACGTGTATATTTATTCATACTTACTTATATTAATTTACAACACACTGTTGCAAAATTTTTAAATCACATTTCGCAGATAGAGTAGGCTCCACCTTGCTACTAGGGCTCTCGTTTCCTTGAATTCAGTTTGAGTCATAAATTGTTATAAAAATTATGTATCTTAGGATCTAATAAAACTAATTCTCTAAAATGATTTAATTATTATCAGTTTCATTATACATAGATTGAGCTACATTGCAACTACAAATTATAAGCTGCAAATTAAATTCATAGATAGCAATTATTCTTTCAGAATCTGGAAAAATCAACGACAGAACATCTGTGTCAACCAAAACACAAGGTTTAAGAAGTCAAACAGCTTTATAACAATTTTGTTATGTTTGCGAATTTGCTACGATGCCGCTACGAAGTGCTACGAAAAATGTAGTCAATGTGTTTTTGTGCGTAAATAAGCAATAGAGCCTATTATTAGAATTTATAGTTTAACTGTATGGTTAGTGCAACAACTGGGTAACGAGCTGCTGTACACACCGTGTTGTGGAATTGATTCCCGCCTGGAATTACGTTTTGTGTGATCCAAAAATGTTTGTTTCTGTGTGTTTTTATGTTGGTTAACGCTCCCATGACACGGAAGAAAATCTTAGCGTCAGGCTACCTATCAAAATAAATTATAACGTATCGAAGAGTCTAACCAAGAGGTAATAAAACTAAGTATTTGAAATTGGAAAAAAGTTCAATTAAAAATGTCAAACACAAACAATTGTTTCGTGCGGGAATCACATTGCACGGATACCAGTTCCCAGCCACTGCGCCAACCGTGCAGTCAAATATATCCCATAGGCTCATATAAAAGCTGTGATAATTTTTCTATTTCAGGTAGGTACCGATTCCCTCGTTCCAACCGTTCTTGATGTAAGCACTTATAGTTTGCAACTATTATAACATCGCCGCTGCACACCGTACATTCATCGGCCAATCCTACTAATCTTACTATAAAAATATGAAATTTTGTGAGTTTGTGTGGGCTGTATATCCACTATAGGTATTATAGCGGATAATTATTCGCGGAGAACCTAACGGGTAACCGGGGCTCCGGCTCGACGTGCAGGAGAAGGAACGGGGTGGTTTTTAGTCAGTAAGAGTTTGACACTCCCTCCCGCCTCACCCAGGCGGGAGCAATCATTCGATGATTTTCCCCCTTAAAATAAAAAAAAAATAGGTATTATAGATACCTACGTACCTATACTAATAGTTAAAGCAATTTGCTTAAAGAATCACGTAGTTTTTAACCACACTACTAGGTACTGCTTAATAATGTGGTGGCAGACCGTCTCCCGAAACATGTTCCGTCACCCCGACAGCTCTGCATTCTGTGTTTTTATTTATTTTGTTCGTATAAAAGAATATATTATTATATTATGTTAATTAGTAACCAAAACCTGCTAAGGTTGTGCTAATATACCTCAATATCACGGCAGCAGAGGACAGCGTCAACTTCCAAAGTCCCTGAGATGGGAAGAGATAGGTAATCTATATCTATACTAATATTATAAAGAGGAAAGATTTGTACCTATTTTTGTATGTTTGTAATGAATAGGCTCAAAAAGTACTGGGCCGATTTAAAAAATTTTTTCACCAAGAGAATGCTACATTCTTCCAATTTGATATAGGCTACATTTCATTTTTTTTAAAATTAGGGATCCTTGGTAAAATTTGAACAATGTAACCGAAGGTGTAGAAAAATGAGTCTTAAAAATGTCATTCGTCAAATGCGCTGCCGTAACTATTAACGATAAAAAAATAATGTACAACAATATTGAATAACATCATAATGTCTACAAAAAACTCCGCGGTAGCATAATTATGTCCAACTATTGTAGTTATGTCACTACAACAATCCAAATTTCCAAAAATAAATAATTGTCTACCCCGTGCGAAGCCGGGACGGGCTGCTAGTTTATAGATAATAAAAAAAACAGCACCCGGGCCCGACGGCATTCTTAGTTGATATCTTGTTTATGCTCTGAAGGAACTTGAGCCTCTATAGGGTAGAGAGGTGAGAGCTTTCAAGAGCTTGTCACTTTTTTAATGTGCGCTAAATGTTCCCAAGGGGCAAATATTCTTGTTCACGAAGAAGGAATGGGACTCACTGTCACTTATTCTACGATATCATCACCACACTGCTTACTTAAAAATACACCAAAGTAACTTAATTCATTTATTTAATAATAATAAAAAAATCATCGCCATGTCTAACGTAGGTACTTAACTCTCTAATGACTTTACCTAATTGAATAATTTATTTTTAATGGGGCGTGTTATTTTTAACCGACTTCAAAAAAAGGAGTTTCTCATTTTAGTCTGCATATGTGTTATCTGTATATTCCGTGTCTCTTACTATTCAACAGATATGCCTATCTACCTATACTTAAAAAGTTCAAAAGCAATTAGGTCATTGTTTATAAATTGCAAACAAGTGAGCATATTGAAAATGTAAGGAATTCTATGCTAATATACTTATATTCTGTTAGGAATGTATTTTTTAAATAAATTATTAAAGCGGTTCATCTAGTATTTTTCATTATTTATTTAATACTAAACTACGGACACCGAAACTTATTTTAACAATTTTATTCATGACCATAGATACTAGTCTTTCAGTCGGATACATAGATACACCGAAACCATGTTTCCGGTGTGACCAGGCTTTTGACCAGACATGATTATTGAAATAAATAAAAAAATAACATTAATTAAACAATACATTTAATTTAATTTAATTTAATTAATAATGTTTAAATGATACATTTTCAAAATAACCTACTATAAAAAACCGATATTTAAATACATAAAAAATCGATATCACTACATCACTATTTACGATTGTAAAAAACTGGTCACACTGGCCGTGTCATTTTTGACGCTGTCACGGCTGTTATAAAATTGTTTACCAGTTTGTGTCAAAGAGTATAATAAGTATGTGCTAGTGCGCGGTGAAGTTGTGTTGTGTTAGTGGTGTTATTTAAAATAGGTTATAATTATTAAATTGTTAGTAAAAAATATTTTTTACTGAACATATAAGAGTTACTAGAAGATCTCAACGTTGGACATTGTGTGTAATTCTTTAAAATGAAAATCGCTGTAGAAGGTTGCGCTCATGGCGAGCTTGAAAAAATATACGAGTGTATTGAAACAATACAGAAGAGGGAAGGTATAAAGATCGATCTGTTGATATGCTGCGGTGACTTTCAAGCTGTTCGTAACCACGAGGACCTGCGGGCTATGGCTGTGCCACAGAAATATCAGCATATGTGTTCATTTCACAAGTAAGATTTTAATTAGGTTTTTCAACCTCTTAACTAGGTTTTTGTATGTTTTTACTGTCTAAACAATAAATAATCTAACTGAAGCAATTATTGTAACACATTTCCCTTCTTTATTTCTAAAAACATTGTCTATTTTTTGCAGATATTATAGTGGTGAGAAGAAAGCTCCTATATTGACAATATTCATTGGAGGCAATCATGAAGCTTCAAACTACTTGCAAGAGCTTCCCTATGGAGGTTGGGTGGCTCCTAATATTTATTATTTGGGTAGAGCTGGAGTTGTTAAGTTTGGAGACTTGAGAATTGGAGGTAAGATCTAAACAAAATTTTGTTCTATTGTATTGTGTTGTCAATGAATGTTAGAGATAAGGTCCATTGTCTTTTTAATCTTTTGTCCATTGTACTTACTTTCTTATCAATATTTTCCAGGAATGTCAGGAATTTACAAAGCTCAAGATTATGGTCAAGGACACTGGGAATGCCTGCCCTACAATCAAAGTTCACTTAGAACTGTGTACCATGTCAGATCCTTGGAAGTGTTCAGGTTAGACCAACTTAAAGAGAAAGTCAATATAATGCTGTCCCATGATTGGCCAAGAGGGATCACTGATTATGGCAATACAGAAAAGTTATTGCACTTCAAAACATTTTTGAGGTATGTTAATTTCTTATATATTTATTTATTTTAGTTAAAATAATTTATGTTCTTGTTGTGTGGATCAATTAAACCATAACAATATTGTTATTACATCAAGTGACATTATTATCAATCCAATTAAAAATCCAATTATATAATTCTTATTTATTGCTAATTTGGTAATGTAGACAAATTAAGTAAATTTAATTTAATTGATTGTTCTCAACTCAATGCATGCTGTGATGTCCTTCATATGTTGTGCATTAGCAGTAAGATGTTAATTCCTAATTGTAAGTTAATGATAAAAATGTAGCAACAACAGGATGTCTAAATAAATAAATAATGGTTTTTAGCATTAGGGCTGTATGTATGTGTGATGTGTGTGACTAGTCTCCACTTTTATTGTAAGCAATATACTTATGTTCTGAATCTTTTCTTTCAGGGAAGACATAGAGTCTGGTCAACTAGGCAGTGTTCCAGCTATGAAGCTACTCCAATCTCTCAAACCAGATTATTGGTTTGCAGCACATTTGCATTGCCAGTATGCAGCAATTGTCAAACATGAGGCCTCAGAGACTAAATTTTTAGCTTTGGACAAATGTTTACCTAAACGAAAACATCTACAGATTCTGGATATACCTTCTGAGTATGATGGTGACATGTGTCTGAAACATGATGTCGAATGGCTAGCAATTTTGAGGAATACAAACCATTTGCTAGTTGTGAAAAATGTTAATCAGCACATGCCTGGACCTGGTGGAAATGAGAGGTACGACTTTACACCTACAGAAGCAGAGAAAGAAAAAGTGAGAAGTTTACTTGGAAGTCTTTTATTAACAGAAAATAGTTTTGTCAGGACTGCTGCACCTTTCAATCCAAATGCACCAAAAATTACTCCTCAAGAGCCATTACTAAATCCTCAAACAGTAGAGCTTTGTGAGAAACTTGGAATTGATGACCCAGTACAAGTTGTAATGGCAAGGTCTGGTCGGAAGATGAGACAACCATGTGTTGAAGCTAAAGAAATGAGACAACCAAATGTTGAAGTTAATGAACTGATTGTAAATCAAACTTTAGAGTCTCCACCAAAACCAGTTTTGCAAACTCCTATCAAGTCATCAAAGCTGTCACTCTGTCTTCCACCACCAGTCACACCGAGTGGGAATGAAAACTCTTCACCCACATCCACACCTGAATCTTCTACACCAGCCAATAATTGCGACAGTTTGATATATGAATGTAGAACACCAATGTCCGATGGAAAGAAGAAGTCATTCAAGAGACGAAACATGTCCATTTATAATGTTTCAGAAGATGGAAGTAGTAGTACTGAGACAACTTCTATATTAGACGAAGATAGTCCTAGTTCTAAATACACGCGTGTAGACAATTTATCTCTTGACTAATTTAACAATAATGACAGCTTTGTATTTTTCCTGTAAGGATTTATCGATACATAATAGTTGAGTCTGGTAATGTTAGAAAAGAAAGCACCTATGAAAAAGTCTTTGTAGTAAAGATAATATTATCTTACTAATTTTGCACCCCTTTCTAGTTTAAACCTTTATAAACCTCTATAATATGGACTGAAGAATAAGTTTAGCTCAATTCCTAGTTTTTAGAATGAAAACATACATAGGTATAAATGTATATTGTATTTTGTAACTAAAGTGCAGGAAATTTTAGGCAATAAATAATGTGCAATGTTATAAAGTGTTTTCTTAGAAATTGTAATAAAATAATAATAAATTAGAACTTAAATAAATCAAGACTCAACAAATTATTATTATAATTCAACATTTTGCACTTATATTATAAAATGTAATCATGTATGTAACTTGTTACTTGAAAAGATTTTACGATTGCAGCAATATCTTCACATTTTCTGTAAGATATATACATTTTTTTTTGTATAATAATGTGTAAACCATCCAAATTTGTACTAAAGCCAGTTTTAAGTGATGTGATGGTTTGTATTTTAATTTATACATGTAGATAGGTGCATCTAAATTGACAAGTTGTACATGACAAAAATGTATTCTGTAAATCTTATTGATAACTAGTTAAATAGTTATTTTTTAATAGCAAAGTACACAAAATTTATCTGTAGCATGTAATGCTTATTTTACAAAATAATTTAGAAATAAGTAGTTTAATATTCTGATCAATTGTTCTCCTTTTTTATATGTGTTAGTAAATGTTCTTTAAGTTGTGGCATTGTTTTTGGTTTGTATGAACATTGGTTGCATTGAAGTTCACTTGATTTAAAACTTAGTACTAATTCTGGTGCCATTTTTGTAATACATCCTTTCTCTTTTAATTCTTCTAAAACATCTGTAAGAAATAAAATTGAACTTTGTTAATTTCATTAACAATGCAATCCAAAAAAATCAAATATCATTAATTATAGAAAATCAAACTTTCATTCAAAATATAAACAATGTTTACTTCTAAATAATCTTTTATTAAAAAACTAACAACCACATCTTTTATACCCCAAACAAAGGAAGCAGAGGCAACCCACAACAGAAAGAGGGCACTATTTTAGCTTATATATATCCCCGAAGGGATAGGCAGAGGTGCACATTACAGCACTTAATGCCACTGTACCACCCACTATTCACCATTTATGTTATGAGTCCCATGTAATAGGCGGTCATCCTATTGTCATATACTGAACACAATTCAAAACTCCATGCTACCACTGAGTTAATTTAAAAAGACCCAGTAGTACTTTGCTCGACCCGGGAATCAAACCAGAGACCCCTTAAGAGGGACCTTGGGAGGAATGTCTTAATAAGGATTAGGAAATAGAATAACAATGGGACCTGGGTATCAAAGCCAAGCTTTATAATTTGGCGGTGTATATACTTAAGATGACTCTATCAACACAGTGGACTATTTAAATGACCTGTATTTTGCCCAAACCAAAGTTATGTGTACCTATTCAAAACTTACCTGCATATGGTCTAAAAAACTTAGTAGTAAAGCTATTCCAATGCAGCTTTGTTTTTAAACAAGGCGATACCATATCTGTGCTTATGATGTGCATATGTAGCCTTTGCATACTGGGAACCGCGTGGAAACCGGCTTTTAATGGCAGTTTTTCATCTTTTTTAATCTCTTCAAATATTTCTCCAAATTCCTCCAGAAGTTTTATATGACTCTTATCTAACGCATAAATACTATTAATATCAGCTTCAGGCAGCACCAAGTAGTGAATTTTGGCTTTGGGATATTTATCTTTGATAACAACAACTTGTTTTGACTTTATCACAATACATTCGGGATCTTTCATACTTTCTAGTAAACCCAGCGACCAGTGCTTTGGTTTCTTTGAATTAAGATTTACAGCCATAGCAGCACCACTTCTTTTGCTCATTATTATTGTTAATTTTATTATAGATATTTTCAAAATAAACTACTTAGTTGACAGCTTTGCCGATCACTTGGAAAAACAAACACTGACTTGACACATGACGAATAGACTTATGCGAGATGCGAGAAAGAAACAGCAGATAAAAAATGCTGAAAATATCTTTAAAATGGATGGAATGTGCGATATAATAGACATTACTTATGGCAGTTTTGATGCTTGACATAGACGCTGAATTGTACGTTCGAAAATCAAGATAATTCGCTCGGTTGCCAATAAAGAAAAAAAAATCAAGATAATTCGCACATTCGATTCACATGCTAATTCTTGTTTCTATACTTAGCTAGACTGATTGAACTACCTATTACCTATTTATTTATAATCAATTTCCATTACTGCAGCCGCATTATAACTCCAGCTACCTAATGGCTTTTTATATTCTCATTCCCATAGCAATATCTTGTATTTTTCACGATAAACTGATATAATAATGTAGTTAGTAGAATATTTGATTATTCATCTTAAATAAACCTATATGTAGGTATAATTAATTAGAATTTTAAAATATTTCATTAGCTAGGTTGGAAGTGTCGTTGAGATTCGTGCTTACTTATCATACAACAGCAAACATCATGGCAATTTAATGATAACAACTCAATATCACCATTTGTCTAACACTACCTATACAGCGATGCATTTGCCATACTCTCTTTCTCTTTCCCAAGAGTAGGTTCACACCAATAAATAAATACAATAAAACACCAATGAAACTTTTTTTCTTATATTTGAACTTAATTTACACTTAAGTAAGTACATTATAAATTATCTCGGAAATAAATTATTAAATTAAATTATTAATACTATTCATGTGACAGTCATGACTGAAAAAATTACCAAGTTATCTGCAAAGATATCAACTTGCGATTTTTCAGTCATAAGTAATAAATTAAATTAATTTTACTAACTATTAAATTCAAGCAACAGCGCCTAAATGGACGTGTTTAATTTTTAAAATGATTGTTGTCCCTAACGACGACTTTGCTTAATAAAATGCAAAGTTGATCGAAATTCTGGTTTTAACTATTAAACAAAAATGTAAATAGTTGGACTTGTAAAATTGCGATGACCAAGCTAATGCCCTAATATTGGTAAAAATCAATTCATTGTTTTTGCTGAGCTTGAACTGTTATGCAGGATGCAATAAACTTACCTATTTTGAGATTCTTTATCGATTACTTTGATTTAACTTACGAAATATTACAACCAGCATTTAATTCTTAGCTCAATCAAGCATTTTGTAAAAGCAGTACTCACTTAAACTGCTTGCAGAGAGTGGAAAAACTTAGTAAAAAACTATAACTACTATCTACTTAGAAACTATTGGGAAAAATCGATGTGTTATCTATTCAAGGAAATAGATAAACCGATGAGTTTTTCACAGTTTTTAAATGCTAAGTTCATTGTCACTGTACGGTTGGTCGTCCAGTGTACCCAGTGTCTGGTAATGAATGATGTGCCAGCTCTCGCAAGATCTGCTCGAATCCTTTGCCTGATGGTGACTGTAGACTGCTGTTCTTTAGCATCGTAGAGTTCAATTTTGTTGCTAAGTAGCACATCTGGAAATAATAAGTTCAATATTTAAAGTCAAATCGGCTTCAATAACTTGGGAAGAAAAGAAACTATCTATTATAAAGATTTTCGCTTTTCATAATTTCGGGTGAAGAATCTAGAGGAAATCTGGGCTTATAAGAATTCCTTAACCCATAGATCCCCAAGCGGTCACCGGTGACCGCTCTCCACTAATATTACATTACATTATAGACCTTATTTCCAATGTTTAGAGACTACTTTTATATGACCAAATTTAGGGGATGGATTTCAACCGTTGATTAAGCGTGTCGTTTACAGCTCAAACTTATCAAGGGCTATGTATGTCTAAGTAACGTGCCCATTTATTTTTTTACTCAAAACGAGACATTTATTTATTTAGGTTCAGTCAGGCAACTAGTAGCTAGATTCTATAAACCTGTAAACCCCACAACAAAATGGTTAACATTACTAACGCAAAAGCGCTGCATTCGGACTATGTTTAGGATCAAAACTACGGACAGCTGTCAGCCACTGTTTAAGAAATACCATATACTAACACTTCCGTCACTATATGTACTAGAAATAGCTTTATTTGTACGAAATAACCCTCAATGGTTTCCGCTCTTATCAGATAAAGTTGTTAGAAATAGACGCATGAAATATAAGCACTATTTACGACTTCACTCAGCGAAAACCACTCTACTTCATAAAAGTGTATTTTGTATGGCACCGATAATTTACAATAAAATTCCAGAAAATTTAAAAGCCATATGTAATAATAATATATTTAAAAAAGAGCTAAAAAAATTACTTTTAAATAATTGTTACTATAGTGTTAAGGACTTTATAAATGATACTTTATAATTTCATTGTTTCATAGATTTTTGTTTTGGTTAATTTCTTCTGATAATCTTTAGTACCTAGTTTTGAAAATATTTTGTACGCCAATTGGGGCAAGACATGTTGAAACTAAGCAAGCTATTTATGTAAGACCATCTACGTTTGCATTTATGTATAATGTTACACATGTTTACGCAAATAAATATATCTTTATCTTTATCTTTATCTTTAACAGCACCAAAACGTAGGTACTTAATTAAAGTTTTTTCGACTTTACTTCGTCAAAAATTAGCGAGTTATGTATGACACTGCATTGCTCTCGCACACCACCCGAGCCGTCTCTTGGTGCCTAATGACAGTTTCTTTACAATATTGACCTCGGTCAAATGGGGCTCGCCCCATTATAATTGATAGGGAGATACGGTAATAGGAACTACTAGAGAGTCATCTTATACTTTGTTACGGTACTTTCGCCGGAATGCGGCATAATTTGTTCATGATTCTTCAATTATGCCTTCCGTAAATGGAAAAACTAAATGATCATAAAGAATAGCGACTAAAATCAATTAAGTCCGCCATAACCATATAGGTAACTGGTTTATGTTTATTATACAGAACTTTGTACTTGCAGTTCGTATTAGTAGCGTGATTGAAACACTCTTTACTTGACTCTAGCTATTTCTTTAAATATGGACAGTAGGTACCTACATTATGGTACATTATATTTCCTTTTTATATAAGAACTTCGGTTCCTGTCATGGATCTCCTTTTCGCCATTTGCTATACTAGTCTCATGTCATAAAACGATGATATTTGTACCTACTCGGCTATACATATCTATTATCATGACTATGAGTGTCGTGTAACAAGGGGGGGGGGGGGGACGAACCTTTGACAGAAAATAAAACACTTACTAGCAAAGCAGACATGAACAGAAGTGCTCCTAAAGCAACAGCGACCATCATGGACGTAGCGCACGTGGCCTCTATAGGAGTTCTATGGAACAGTTCCCCAGGCATCACTACTGAGTATTCCAAGTTCTCTTTAAACCGTGTGAATGGAGTCGTAGAGTTGTCAGCCACTAATGCCGAACTCGTGATGTTGTGGCTGTGGGAACCCTCAGCCAGCGATCTTCGTCGACGACCGTGACCTATAAAATAAATATATAATTACATTTAATACTTATTACGACTATTATAGTAGAGGTTCAGGAGGATCACATGAAATTGGTATAATATGGCTTGTGTGAAATAAAACTTAAGCATATATTTTTCTGATTGCATCGAAGTGATAGCTTTACATTTCAGTGGATGAAGTATTTATATTACTCTATTAGGTACATATTTAATGTATTGCCGATTATTTTTAAATCGGTAATTCATTCCACTTGGTGGTCCAATATTTGAAACATACACTAAAATGTAATTTAGATATAAAAAGTTACCTGATGGTTCAAATAAATCCAAGCAGTAGTCTGGCTGACAGTCAGCAGCGTCCATGCAAGCCTTGATTTGCGAGTGAATCCAAAGCGTGGAGCGTTCCTTCATGGAAGCGAGTAGAAATGCTTCAAAGTCTAGGAACACCTCGTTATGTCTCTCTCGGTAGCGAGCTGGCTGGTGCGGGATTATCGAGGCGAAGTCACGATTTCGACAACTGTTAGAGAAAGAATTTTGATATGGAAATTAATAAGAAGTTTGGGTTATGTTAGATAACTTATTAGATAGTACTTAGTACCTAGATAAATGTAGCCTACTTCTGTCTAAAAAGAAATAGTCTTGACTAACTTAACTTGTCTGATTTAGAATTAAATTTGATAGCTAAGGTAAGGTGTGAAAACCATTTCGAGGACTGAAGAAATGATGTCGCAACGCTATTTTGATGTACTCCAACCAAAACTAAACCAAGTAGCAATTTTCTAAGAATTTTCCTTATTCGCAACAAAAAATAATATAAGAATTTCGATTTTTGCGCTATTTACCCATCTTTGACGAGTAGCACGGCGCCGGGCGCGTGTGGTCGATCAGGGTCAGGCGAGACGGCCACCTCCAGCAGTTTGATGTGCCGCCACGCCGAGTCTGGGTTGATGCGCGCGCGCAACTGGAGCTTCGTGCCGATTGGTACCGCCTTCACGATTAACGGTTCAATATTATTTATTTATAAGTACATAGATAAGTCTCAGGAATCTTCTAGGTATAAAATATGTTTTCTTTACATAGGTTTAGGTACATACATACATGAAGTTCTTTATTGATCGGAATCATCTTTTATTTACTGATGACTTTAAAAATAATATTTACAAAACGAGACAGAACTTTTTGGTATTTTACATATCAAAGGAAACAATAAAAAAATCCTTGTTATCACAGTTTTCCATTTTCGATTACATGAAGTCTCATTCAATTTATCAATAAGATAATTGGCGGTATAGAAGAAAAAGTGAAGAAAAAGAACGTACACCAGTTACCTGATCAACAGGCAAGTCAACGGAGTGGTTGTTATGTCTGGTGACGGGCGGAGCCTCCTTGTACAGCGCCACCTCGTACTCCAAGCGTCCTGGAGTCTCCTCCACCACTCCTGACACTCTCGCTCCGTGAGGGCTGCAGGCATTTTATTATAATATTTGATTCCAAAATTATGATACGAAGCACAAACTCGAGAACGGTAGGATAAAATTTTCGTCTCATGAAAAAAAAAAAATAAATTCATCGAGAGAGGAAATAGGTACCATCTGAATGGAACGGGACGGGTTGCGAGTAAGTACCTAATGCAAATTTTTTTCCTGTTCTTATTTAATCAATTCATTTTATAGTTATTTGAAACAACAAGGAAAGTTCATTCACCTAAATGCTAATGCCAAAACTACTTACTTATCTATGACAAAATTTATTTTGTATTACAAACCAGTTAAATAGTAAAACAGTATTTTAAAGCGTATTAGGGATCGTTTTAACTATGATGTTAGCTACTTACAAGCTGCCAGCGAACCCCGCTGCCTTGTTCTCGATGATGGTTGGTTCTGGAGGCTTGCACATTATGATCAGCTCTTGATCTGACTGCATCACCACACCAGGGAATTGCGGGAACCATACTCGTACGTGGACAAACCCCTGTTTTAGAAAAATACATAACAATAAAATTCAGACTCTGTCCGAAACGTTTAATGACTACAAAATCTACTAATTTATTATAGTAAAATTTTATATGTCTCGAAGTATTATTTTGTTTATTTGATTTTTTTTTTGTATATTCAAAATTCTAATATTGTCGTATTATTATATTGTTATATTGTGATGTTTTTTGTTCTGATCTCTATTCTTGTAACTTTATTATTAGTATTTTGTTTATATATACCTATGTATTTTTATTTTTTTATAATCTTTGTTTTGTGTGCTAATTGCCAAATAAATGATTTCTCTTTCTTTCTCTTTCTTTCTTTAAGTAAAACTGAACGAACCTCGTTTCGTCTGACATTGACCAAGACCCACTACGGCAGAACTTGCGTTTTCTAGGCTAACGCGTCAGGCCAGCGACGTAGATAATTGCAATTAAACAATAAATTCTGTATCGCGCTGCGCACATTCATAAACAGTAAAGCATAATGAATAGGTAATTACTTTCAGCACTATAATCGTGAGGCTACAGCCAATTAATGCTAAGTAATTATCTAGTTTTAGTTTACATAGACTACCTAAGTAAAGTTAAGTCTTCTTTCCATTTAGAAACTCAACTAGGTGCTGAACATAGAGAGCTAAGGAAATTTTACTAGGAAAATTAAAAGTTTACAATATCCCGCATTAGTCAAATGGATATGTGAGGGAGGAGCACACAAATAAAGGCTATAATTCATTGAACATAGGTCATAGAAGTCAGTCGATTTCGCTGGAAAACGAGTGTAAATTTATCCAAAGCCAGTTACCAAGTGGCCGAGGGCAAGAGAAATGAATTATTGTGGTATTTATAGGCAAACAGGTAAACCAGTTCGATACGATACTACCTGGACTACTTGAGTACTTTCCCGGCTACGTATTTGTAAATATGCAGGAAAATTCTTTTGCTAAACGAATATAATTATTTAAATGCATTGGGCATACTTCGGTAAAGTAAAAGAATGTCATATTGTTTTGTAGATTATTGAAGAGGGAAAATGTCTTAAAATTTTAAATTCCCAATAGATCTTTAAGGAAAATTTTAGCTAAACGATAAACATAGTGGCTGAGCAGATTGCAATTATCGTTTATCATTTTATTTTGTAAAAGTGAGCATACAGATCCATCTGATTTCTTTAACCTAGATTTAGATCGAACGTCACAATGATTGGGAATGTCAGTATCGTGTTAAATGGCATGCATTGTATTCAATCGATGCAATACTCCCGTATTGACACACGTGGTTTAGATTTCTCTTTACCTCAATACTGTACCGGTCTCAGCGGTTAATAATATATCAGCTGAGGGGCTCGTTGTGTAGGCCACTTGCAAACCTCTACTGTTAGTAACGGAATACGTTATTATCTGTTGATGACACAACACCCAGTCTATGTTATCATTATATGCATGCGGCGGGCGACTGCACGAAACTTAACGCTAACTTGACGAACAATAGCACTATTTCGCACGGTACAGCACCAGCAAACTGCTCCGGAATAGGTATACTCAACGCCTAATGTTCGAAATGCTAAACAGTTTAATTTAATGTGTGAAGATGAATACAAAAGCTGTGAAATGGTAATTTCGTCAGTCGTCTGCCTCGTTAAGCTACTGGCAGCAAGTAGGTACGACGGTGGAGTTTCCAGTTTCCAGTCCGATTTTATGGTAGAATTAGTCATATCATTAGGTATTTAGATTTTGCACTATTCTGGACTTAATCTCTTTTTGACCCCTATCTCGCCTGGTAGTAAGCGACGATGTAAAAATTTTATGTTATGTAGAATAAAAAAATAGTAGGTACCTTCATTTCTGACTTTGGAATTAAACATTCAAAAAGATCTTACAAGGCAAAAGTATTATTAAATGACAAGTGAGAGGAAGAGATTGCATTGCTGACATTGACCTTTTCGAAAAATGACTTACGTTTCGTTTGAGTACGCCACATCTTGTGAAATCTGTGATCCGTAGCCTGTAGAGTAATCCGGTCGGATCTTCTGGTTCAGGTCTTATTTGACATACAGGATCTGTTACAGGGTCCGTTGCCCTATCATCAGCGAATAAGGGTGCTCCTCGAAATCCTTCAGGTTTCCTTAACAAGGCTGCCACGGAATCTCTTAACCCTGTTCCCCCGCTCGCAAATGTGCACTGAATGTCCGTCACTGAAATAGACAATAATTGCAATTTATGTGGATTCCTTTTTTACTGTCCAATCTCAATAACTTATTTGTCGGAAGTAATTAAAAAATATAACTCCAGTAACAAAGTCAAACAACAGATAGAAATATTAATATATTTGAGATTAGCCACAAAATACTATTAATTTAAAGATTGGCATTATGGATTTTCTCCTGTCTCGTTTTTATGCCTTGTCGAAATCGAAGTATCGAACCCATGGTTACGGCTACGGTATCTACATTGGGTAGTGATCTACGATCCAGTCATTGAACAAACTGGTCCGCCAATTATTCCATTTGTTCAAAATGGTAGAAAGCAAAGAGATTTCCCCTTCGATCTGACGAACAGTTGTTAACCACTTACGAGTTTTCGTTATTGAGGTAATTATAGTTCTTTGCCATTACGGACGGTTAAGTTAGTTATTACTTGTCTACGCTTAGATGCGTCTTTTGTTCTTGTTAATTTATGACTACTGTAATAGTTATCTATTAAGTGTCATATTAAATGTTGTTGATTAATTCAAAAATTGTTTTAGGTTAAGACGATTTCCTCATCTATTTTGGTAAAGATTTTAATATTTTGACCTTATATCAAATTAGAGGCCTTGACACAAATGTTTTAGAGGCATTTAGTTTAGACTATACTACGTATAAAAGAATGAATAACGGTGAATACGTACCATCGTAGTCTTGTGCGAATGCTGCTTGGAACTGTAACAATGAGCATTCAATTTGTAGGAAGGAAGACGAACACGCCATCAAACAATTAGGAGGTTAATTGAATGTAGGTATTGTTAGACACATACACGAATTTCCTTTCACATTGTTCACTAACACTCTGAAGCTAATCTCCAACAGATCTATGTGGGACTCGGTAGAACATACTTCGTGTATCAGATGGCTATCGCAATAGTCCTGCAGTGCCATTGTTAAATATATCAATAAACCTTTATCTGATTGGTTGGAAGAGTAAAAGTTAATCGACATTGTGGACGAATTGCGTGTTATTAAAGTGATTATAAACATCTATGTTGTAACTTCATATTTTTAGTATATTTGGCTAACCACAAATCAAAGGTATTTGTTCCCTTTTTTAAATTCTGGTGCTCTGTAGGTACTATTAAAGAAGTTAGGGTGATTCTTCGTACTTTGCCATTACCAGACTATGTAAGTGGGTATGTTTTACTTTTAATAAATACGTATTGTATTTTGCGACTAGAAGTGTGTCATTCATTACACTTAAACTGTCAAACACCGCGAGGACGCCGGTGACCGCAACCTATTGTTCTTTAAACTGTCAAACACCGAGCGGTCACCGGTGACCGCAACCTATTGTTCTTTAATTGTGTCTATAATGACGGTACTCAACGAGTTAATTAATAAAACTGAGTTATTATGAAATTAGGCATTACTAATTATTTGGAAACGTTTATGTATGCACAAATTTCGATTTAGGTATACTACTAGATATACATAAGGTCCTATCTAAATTAGTACTTACCTAATAAGTTATTTATCATTACTATAAAATATTTATATATTTTTGTTAAATACTACCTGCAAAATGGTCTATTTTTTGTAAATAATTAGATTTCAATATAAAAAGGTATATCTAGATGCCTAGTACGGTCTGGTCTGTGGGCCTAGTGTGGTCTGTCTATAGCTTTTTCATCATTGTGTGAATTTTCCAAGAAAGTAACACTGCGTTCGCGAGGCCACAATTTTTTGTAAACTAATGCCGATAATCTAAGCTTATATCGATAGTGGATATCGCTTAAACGCAGATAATTTCAGAAATCAGTGTAATGATAGCTTAGAAGCGATCAATGATGACCACAACGAAACTGGTCGCGATTATCTCGAGGAAAATCTCATCGGATGTCGAGAAAATAATATTGTATTTAATTTTTTACGCGATGAAAACATCAGGTTGATGCAATTAATGATTTCTGAAGTTGTGTCGGTAAGTTTTTTAAATGTATGTGGTTTTTAATGGGTTTTCATGGATTTATTAAATGTTTTGGGAAAATTTGATCTATGGAACTACACACCAAAAAATGTGTTATTCAGTAGTTCACAAGGACCAGAAAGCTAAACAGGAAACTGGGAGTCGTTAAATAAGTAACACCCCAGTCACTACAGTTACTTTAACACAGAACTGTACGTTATAAAGTGATCGTTTGACTTTCAAAGTATCAAGATGGGAATAGCGTAGTTGACGAGGATTATGAGTGTGGTTGCGGTTTTGTAAATGAAGCGAACCATACCACATCATTTGGTCCGTGAACGTGAGGTCGGGTGATGCGGCGTCGTTGAAAGTAAGTCGATTTTATACACTTTATCACGGTTCATGCTCCAACTGCTCTGGTATTATCAAGAATCGTACAATATACATTACTGAGTTAATACTGGACGTGCACCTTTCTTTACCTTACAGATACGCATTGGATTATACCTACAGTGTAGAAGTGTGTCGGTTGAACACCATTTTCGGTAAAGTGCGAGGGTCATTCATTTGACCGTTGGCTTAGAACTTCGTGCGGAAACGTCCGGCGTTCGGACGAAGAAAGATTATCTCTCACTTGCTTGTATGTAAATTTTGATGCAGACTGTTAAACGGTTTTTTTTTCTAAAACGGTTTTACTCTGGTTATTGGGCGTGAAGAGTTGTTTCGGGGAACTAATTGATTCCGCGTTTCAAACGGTTTCGTTACGTCGTTGTCTGCTTGAGTATGGATGTATCACAGAAGTGCATTTCATTACACTAATTCTTTTTAAAACCACGTCTATTATTGAAACCAACAATATACATTATGTAGATCAGTTGTTGGAAGCAGTCACACATTATAAACAATGAATTAGTGGCCTACGAAAATTCCTTGTTGATGAACTGAAAGTTCAATAATTTTCTAATACATTAGGTACTGAGAACACATTTGCATCGTCTATTACGCCGATAGCGCAGCATTAGGATTTCAGAATTTACTTTGTCTAAATCATCCAAACGTTATTTACTTGCCTCAGTTGAAATGAGAAACTATCAGAAACTCATAAGTATTTCTAAATGCTGTAGGTACCATTTGCATTGCTCCATTAAAAGTCAGATAAACATAATGATTATAAATTACAATGATAATCTCAATGCGTTCAGCTACAAAATCATGTCCATTAGTTTTCAATCTCGCGTCGTAATTGCAGTGTGATGCGGAACTCTCATCTCATAATATGTCTAATCAAGTCGTTTGCAGTATCTTCTAACAAATTAACACTTCCTTAATTTAGAGATTAGAGTCGGTCGCACACTCCCACGGTACCTTATCGTATTCCCAGGCCTTTATTGTACAGATATAAGTAGCTTAAGTAGATATAACTATAATTAGGTACCTATTACCGTCTTGGAACTCAACTTCTTAGGTAAATGTAATAATGTCAATATAATATAATTGTTAGCTGTTTTAATTTATAACCTGTCTAGTTTAAAGTTAAACTAGTTTTATTTTAGAAAATGAAAATAATGGCTTCTTGGTCTGATGATTGCAAGCGTGAGTGAACACCGACGGGTAATGCATTATTTACGATATCAAAATTTTATTTTTGCAGGTGCATGGTGTTCGGAATCGTGTACGGTAATAGATTTTGCCTTTATAACGGCGCTTCTTAGCACGTAATACATATTTAGGTACCTACCTGAGACGAAATTCGTTGAATAAATCGCCCAGTTAATACTTCAACGTAAGCCGGGGTTAGCAAAATAAAACAAAAGACACGTCAATGAAAGGAAAAATATCGTCTTCTTTTTACAAATATGACCTGCCTCCAGAACAATGTAAAATAATAACAATAAAATGACACCTCGATGACGTCACGCCCGAAATGACGAGGACAAAACCATATTAGGTCGTGTTGTTTTTCTAAATCGAAATTCCTTTAACATTAGAACAAGACCAATGATGTTTTGTCTCATGTTTGTATTAAGTAAAGTAAAAGGGGATTTTTATAAATCATCTGAAAAAAATAACGTTTCAACCAACTAGGTACTAACATAATTTACAAAGAGTTTCTCAATCTCATAAATAAAATAACTTTCAATCATTGACGTAGGTATCATCAATCAGGTAGATATAGCTGTTTTAAATGACATGAAACAATCTTAATTTGTTTTTAGAAATAAATTAAAATGTGAAGGAAATTACAGAAACAAAAATGTAAAAGGCACCCCTATTGAAATAACACATATCTAACGTTTTCTTTTAACCTCCAATGGGATAAACAGAGTTATATAATATATATGGCATATTATAGATAGGTAATGTAATACCCACTTTTTACTAGCTTTGTTATGAATCCTATAAAATCCTACTCTTCGTGCTGTTAGCTCCAAGAATGGGTAAAGAACACCCGATTGAGAAATCCGACTCACGTTTTCTTGTTCACCATTTAGGTACATTTGCAAGTTTGCCACCAATCACCAACATACATAATAAATATACTTTAATGAATACAGTAGATTTTAAATGTAAATAAATGTTAGTTACTACAAAAGTACAAAAATTATGTTTTTTCTAAGAAAGATAAGCCGAAGCGTGGGAAATAATTGATTTTCGATACGTAATCGATTGTTGTGCCCGTGGAGTGTTGAACTTAACAACCTGTTTGAGGCTGTTTGTCTTGTATTGTTGTTGCCAACAGCTTTGGTTTCGTCTCATTCTTTATTATTTTTATGATAATTTACGTAACTAACTAACTATATTTAATTCATTGAAAGGTTAAGCAAAGGTGCACATGCACTAAAAACACATAAATAATTATAGACGACGGAAACAAATATGAAAAGGAGGTGTCGATTTAGTCCGTGCGTCGCTGTTGGATCCATAACGAAATATAGTAGCTACCTACTTATAGTAATAAAAAATAATTGCTCAATATAAAGCGAATAAAAGAGCTTATTTCTTAGTGTAGACTGTGTTCGGGTCAATCACCGAACAAATAATTGTAATATGCTAAGTATACTAATCATGTCATCGTAATTGCGACACACCGCAATATGCCATGAATATATTATGTATTACTTAGGTAAAAACGCTCAGTACGTTCAGTACGTTTGTGAATACGGACGCTACTCAATCTCATCTCATTCACCTCATTAGACTTAGTAGTTATCTCATTAGTATCGAAATATATCTTTCATTCTACATCCTAGAGTTTATCTTGAACTCACCCCAACCCCGAACATTGGTCCTTCGAGCCGGATATTTGGGACTATCGCGCGTGTGTTCACGAACTAGAACAATTGTGTGAGTGACTCGCCTAGAACTTTAACCAGACTGTGGCAAACAGTTCCCAAAAATCTCACTATCCTGCTGATCCCGTTTGAACCTGGTTTGAAAAATCATCGCGTCATCCCTTCGCGCCATCGCACCGCTTCATCTCATCGTGTGGATCTCCAGAGAAGCCTTCAGTACAAGTAAGGTCTCTTTTATCTTTTTCCCGTGTCAAAATGGAAGACATCCTAGCAACTCAACGTCAACTAATCGAAGCATAAACGGACTGCACTCCAATTTTAAGAAGGATGGTGCCGAGCGTAAAACCCCTGATTACTTACGCCGTCGATTAGCCACGTTGGAACAATATTATGCAGAGTTTCATAACAATCACATGACGCTGCTATCTTTTGGTGATAAATCCCATACCTATTTTAGTACTAATCAATAT